TGTTTCCAGACTAATGTAATAAGATACTGTGTGTCCAGACTTATGTACTAGGATACTGTGTGTCCAGACTAATGTAATAAGATACTGTGTGTCCGGACTAATGTGCTAAGATAATGTGTGTCCAGACTAATGTAATAAGATGCTGTGCGTCCAGACTAATGTACTAAGATACTGTGTGTCCAGACTAATGTAATAAGATACTGTGTGTCCAGACTAATGTAATAAGATGCTGTGTGTCCAGACTAGTGTAATAAGATAATATGTGTCCAGACTAATGTATTAAGATGCTGTGTGTCCAGACTATTATATTAAGATACTTTGTGTCCAGACTAATGTACTAAGATAATGTGTGTCCAGACTAATGTAATAAGATACTGTGTGTCCAGACTAATGTAATGAGATACTGTGTGTCCAGGCTAATGTAATAAGATACTGTGTGTCCAGGCTAATGTAATAAGATACTGGGTGTCCAGGCTAATGTAATGAGATACTGTGTGTCCAGACTAATGTAATAAGATACTGTGTGTCCAGACTATGATAATAAGATACTGTGTTTCCTGACAAATGCAATAAGATAATGTGTGTCCAGACTAATGTAATAAGATAATATGTGTCCAGACTAATGTAATAAGATATTGTGTGTCCAGACTAATGTACTAAGATACTGTGTGTCCAGACTAATGTAATAAGATACTGTGTGTCCAGACTAATGTACTAAGATACTGTGTGTCCAGACTAATGTTATAAGATACTGTGTGTCCAGACTAATGTAATAAGATACTGTGTGTCCAGACTAATGTAATAAGATATTGTGTGTCCAGACTAATGTAATACGATACTGTGTGTCCAGACTAGTGTACTAAGATACTGTGTGTCCTGACTATTGTACTAAGATACTGTGTGGCCAGACTAATGTACTAAGATACTGTGTGTCCAGACTAGTGTAATAAGATATTGTGTGTCCAGACTAGTGTACTAAGATACTGTGTGTCCAGACTAATGTAATAAGATGCTGTGTTTCCAGACTAATGTAATAAGATACTGTGTGTCCAGACTTATGTACTAGGATACTGTGTGTCCAGACTAATGTAATAAGATACTGTGTGTCCGGACTAATGTGCTAAGATAATGTGTGTCCAGACTAATGTAATAAGATGCTGTGCGTCCAGACTAATGTACTAAGATACTGTGTGTCCAGACTAATGTAATAAGATACTGTGTGTCCAGACTAATGTAATAAGATGCTGTGTGTCCAGACTAGTGTAATAAGATAATATGTGTCCAGACTAATGTATTAAGATGCTGTGTGTCCAGACTATTATATTAAGATACTTTGTGTCCAGACTAATGTACTAAGATAATGTGTGTCCAGACTAATGTAATAAGATACTGTGTGTCCAGACTAATGTAATGAGATACTGTGTGTCCAGGCTAATGTAATAAGATACTGTGTGTCCAGGCTAATGTAATAAGATACTGGGTGTCCAGGCTAATGTAATGAGATACTGTGTGTCCAGACTAATGTAATAAGATACTGTGTGTCCAGACTATGATAATAAGATACTGTGTTTCCAGACAAATGCAATAAGATAATGTGTGTCCAGACTAATGTAATAAGATAATATGTGTCCAGACTAATGTAATAAGATATTGTGTGTCCAGACTAATGTACTAAGATACTGTGTGTCCAGACTAATGTAATAAGATACTGTGTGTCCAGACTAATGTACTAAGATACTGTGTGTCCAGACTAATGTAATAAGATACTGTGTGTCCAGACTAATGTAATAAGATACTGTGTGTCCAGACTAATGTAATAAGATATTGTGTGTCCAGACTAATGTAATACGATACTGTGTGTCCAGACTAGTGTACTAAGATACTGTGTGTCCTGACTATTGTACTAAGATACTGTGTGGCCAGACTAATGTACTAAGATACTGTGTGTCCAGACTAGTGTAATAAGATATTGTGTGTCCAGACTAGTGTACTAAGATACTGTGTGTCCAGACTAATGTAATAAGATGCTGTGTTTCCAGACTAATGTAATAAGATACTGTGTGTCCAGACTTATGTACTAGGATACTGTGTGTCCAGACTAATGTAATAAGATACTGTGTGTCCGGACTAATGTGCTAAGATAATGTGTGTCCAGACTAATGTAATAAGATGCTGTGCGTCCAGACTAATGTACTAAGATACTGTGTGTCCAGACTAATGTAATAAGATACTGTGTGTCCAGACTAATGTAATAAGATGCTGTGTGTCCAGACTAGTGTAATAAGATAATATGTGTCCAGACTAATGTATTAAGATGCTGTGTGTCCAGACTATTATATTAAGATACTTTGTGTCCAGACTAATGTACTAAGATAATGTGTGTCCAGACTAATGTAATAAGATACTGTGTGTCCAGACTAATGTAATGAGATACTGTGTGTCCAGGCTAATGTAATAAGATACTGTGTGTCCAGGCTAATGTAATAAGATACTGGGTGTTCAGGCTAATGTAATGAGATACTGTGTGTCCAGACTAATGTAATAAGATACTGTGTGTCCAGACTATGATAATAAGATACTGTGTTTCCAGACAAATGCAATAAGATAATGTGTGTCCAGACTAATGTAATAAGATAATATGTGTCCAGACTAATGTACTAAGATATTGTGTGTCCAGACTAGTGTAATAAGATACTGTGTGTCCAGACTAATGTACTAAGATACTGTGTGTCCTGACTATTCTACTAAGATACTGTGTGTCCAGACTAATGTAATAAGATACTGTGTGTCCAGACTAATGTAAAAGGTTCTGTGTGTCCAGACTAATGTACTAAGATGATGTGTGTCCAGACAAATGCAATAAGATAATGTGTGTCCAGACTAATGTAATAAGATAATATGTGTCCAGACTAGTGAAATAAGATACTGTGTGTCCAGACTAATGTAATAAGATACTGTTTGTCAGGACTATTATAATAAGATACTGTGTTTCCAGACAAATGCAATAAGATAATGTGTGTCCAGACTAATGTAATAAGATACTCTGTGTCCAGACAAATGCAATAAGATAATGTGTGTCCAGACTAATGTAATACGATAATGTGTGTCCAGACTAATGTAATAAGATATTGTGTGTCCAGACTATTATAATAAGATACTTTGTGTCCAGACTAATGTATTAAGATAATGTGTGTCCAGACTAATGTATTAAGATAATGTGTGTCCAGACTATTATAATAAGATACTGTGTGTCCAGACTAATGTAATAAGATACTGTGTGTCCAGGCTAATGTACTAAGATATTGTGCATAAGCGGATTCATAATAGGTATATTGCATATTAGTCATGTAACGTGTATACAAAAATACGTCTTTTGGTTATGGTAAACATAACAATTAACTGACTATTCTTTGGAAGACATATGTAAACTGTTTCTGGAATTTTCTGGAACTATATTTCAAGTGCAGCCCCCTGTTTCAAGAAGCTTTGCAAACCCACTAACCCCACAATCCTCCAGCACCGCCTAGCACCACCCAGCGCCACCAAGCACCACCCATCCTACCCGGTACTACCAACCACCACTCACACCACCCTCCCCACCCGGCACCGCAAAACACAACAAACCCCGCCAAGCACCGCCCACCCTGCAAGGCACCACCCAGCACCACCCATCCTGCCCAACACCACCACACACAACACACTCCGCAAGGCACCAACCAGCACCACCCACCCTGCCCAGCACCACCCTCCCCGCCCAGCACCACCCTCCCCGCCCAGCATCACCCTCCCCGCCCAGCACCGCCCAGCACCACCCTCCCTGCCCAGCACCACCCTCCCCGCCCAGCACCACCCTCCCCGCCCAGCACCACCCTCCCCGCCCAGCACCACCCTCCCCGCCCAGCACCACCCTCCCCGCCCAGCACCACCCTCCCCGCCCAGCACCACCCACCCTGCCCAGCACCACCCACCCTGCCCAGCACCACCCACCCTGCCCAGCACCACCCTCCCCGCCCAGCACCACCCTCCCCGCCCAGCACCACCCTCCCCGCCCAGCACCGCCAGGCACCGCCCAGCACCACCCACCCTGCCCAGCACCACCAAAACCCTGCCAAGCACCACCCTCCCCGCCCAGCACCACCCATCCTGCCCAGCACCAACCACCCTGCCCAGCACCACACAGCCTCCCAAGCAACACCCATCCCGCCCAGCAACACCCACAACACCCATCCTGCCCAGCATCACCTAGCACCTCCCATCCCGCCCAGCACCACACTCCCCGCTCACTCTTTTTCCGAACGACGGTACCTACTTTACACTCAAGAGTAAACAATTACACACAGGTGTAAAGTAGATATTTCGCCACAAACGACGTGAGCAACTGAGGAGGAAGTTAGAAATGTCCTGATAATAACTAACAACCAACTCTGGCCAACGGGGACATCCCAGCTGAATCAAACACTTTGAACTATACAATATATATTCTTGTCGCTCCTGGACCGCATGGTAATCCTACAAATAAACAGATACTGCACTAGAGACAGACATTCATCGTCATTGAAACACTAGCAGACATTTCGTGCGGGGGCGGTAGGGTAGTCAACAAGAATACATGAGTATGCTGGAAAACTGCTAAAAGACGCATAATACACAGTTCATTCATTCCCCCGCTCATCCCGTGCAAAGAAAACAAAGCAATAATACGAAAACAATCAACGCGGTAACCATTGACAGCTATGTCGCATTGTAGATGTAGGCCTCAACAACATGCGGGATTAAACACCACTTCCTGACATAAAGAGCAGAGGCCAGATGCATAGTTCCTACATATTGCAGCCAGGGCAACAGAAGGATGCGGATGAAACGAAAGGCGCGTCAGTGTCATTCATTGATAAATATATTGTCATACGTGACTTAGCAATGAAAATACGTGCGCATTTTAATCTAACTGTTTTACAATTCGCAAATCTTGATACAACACCGTGCGTTGCCTGCAGGTTGACGTTATCTCGTGGGTTATTTGGTATACAGCGGTTGATCCAGACTTTTCCGTGATGGCGATGCCACGATAGCATCAGCCCCGGGGTCCTGATCATTGACAGAGGGCAAACACTACGATTAGATGGTCTTGCAGCTCTATAGATATATAAATATCTGGGACAGTTTTAAACGTTGCCAATTACCAGTGAAGCCTCGCGGAGCGCCTCAACGTGTGCTGTCCCACTATGGCTGTCCATTTACCTGTGCGGCTTATTCCTTTGATCTTCATCTACCTGTGCAGCGTGTTGGATGTACGTGGGGCGTCAACCGTCAGTAGACGTAAGTGTAATTAGGGGTTTATCTGCTTTGGTAGATGTTATTTTCATATTTACACCCAAGACACTACTATTTTGATCCCCCCAAAAACGTAATCGGTTACTTCATGTGAAGAGCGTTTACATGTGATCTGTTATTTTACAATGTGTGTACATGCGTGCGTGCGTGTGTGCATGCGTGCGTGCGTTCGTGCGTGAGTATTTAAAGCAAAAGTGTTATGAAAGAATATTTTTCTGTCGTACATATAGATGTATCGTTAACAAAGATTGGTTATGGGTCATCTGTGTATGTTTTGTTGATTGTAAATCACAAGTGATATATTCAAAAGGTAGGTACGATATATTACCTTATTCAGTTAACAATTTCCAGTTAATGTTAAAAACATCCATTTTCTGGAAGCATGTTAGATGGAAACAGCGAAGTAACATATTACCCAAAATGTCACCTACTCGAGCTCGGTCAAGTAAACGTGACATTAACGCGTCACCGCGATATTTCACATTATTTGCGTTGTAAGATCTGGACACGTCTTAAAATGTGTTTTGTTTTACTCTTTACAATAATTGGTTTATGGCTTTGTCAGATGAAGTGGCATGCTTTGTTCTGAGATACACCCTCTCTCCATCCACCTGACTAAAGTCCCACTTGCTAATTGGCTGTGTGACGTCCCTAGTATGTGTTCGCCGGACGGAGAAACATGTTGTACTTTAATTGTTCTATTTTCAACAGGAGAGCGAGTCTTTATACCTTTGACAACTGTTTCTAAAATTTGTGAAGATAAATAAAATATAAGGTACACGTGGATGATAAACTGAAATATTTTAGACTGGGTGACTTAGTGAGTCTAATGCCGAGGGCAGTGTGCTAATCAAGGAAAATAATCAATGCGAATCTGGGATTCGGAGTCACGAGCTTGGTGACTAATTTTGGCGACTTAACTTAATGTGTCAGAGAGAAATCTGAAGTGGTGTCATGTCTTTTACTGATTTAGTACCCAAGTGATTTTGAAATGTTTTGTTAGATTAGTATTATTACTTATAGTAAGTGTTTGCTGGGAATGAATTAATGGTGCCAGGATCGAGGGTTTGGTTTGATAAAGCGTCATGATCGCGGCGAGAAAGCGTACATTGACTGATGGATGTTGAGAGAGAGAGAGAGAGAGAGAGAGAGAGAGAGAGAGAGAGAGAGAGAGAGTATTAGTATGTGTGTCTGTGTATTTGTGTGTGTGTGTGTTCCGAATGTAAACGTATACAAGTCAAGTGTGTGTGTGTGTGTGTGTGTTTTGTTGTTTTGTTGGGGTTGTTTGTGTGTGTAGGGGTGATGTGTGAATGTAGATGCGATGTGTGTGGGTGTGTGCGAGTGTGTCTTTGTATGTGTGTGTGAGTGTACCGCTTTTAGCATTATTCCAACAATATCACGGAGGACAACTCAAATGGATTCTCACATTGTATTAAACATATATACGAAATATACTCGGTGTATACACAAGATATAACCTTTCCGTCCGGTGATTCGTTATCTCTGACCCTGTACCGGATGAGTCGGTTTAAAAGCATCATATTTCGTGGTTTTCTCTATTCGCGGAAGAAGTTTCGAATTTACGTTATTGTATGACAACCATGTTCGTGTCTAATATACATTCACTGTACAAATATATATTTGCTGAATATGTTTTTGTTTTTACATATATAGAATTATAACTTCTATTAGTTATTTCATAATACTATTTTAAGGCGCATTAACACATCCGGTTGACGTTCGCGGCTGTCATGAATGTCATTCTTATCACGAAGCTTCCACGACCGACACGGAACCGCCCGAATGCAAGCTTCCTTGATAGGTCTTTATGTTAACACGCTTCCCTGGTGATATCTATCTATCTATCATGCTACTAAACCCCGCTAAATATTTCTGATGAAATAGTATCCCCTTGAGAACAATGTGGAGAGGCGCGAATGACGTCACGGTGAATAATCTGATGTCCCGGCCTCTGTTTGTGAAACAACGTTTCACTGTTGTAATAGTGAACCCTCTGTGCAATTTAGGCATCACAGGTTTTTATTAGTAATTATCACCTTGTGATATGCAATAAGAGTCAACTGTTTCGAGTAATGTCTTTCAGCTGCCAGTAAATAACATTATCCCAACCTTCATCCAATGTAGTGTATTACCAAGTTTAACCTCTAGGACATGCATAACTTCGGGTTGTTCTCACAAATACAGCTGTTTATTTGTTGTTTAACACCGCGCTCAGCAATATCCCAGCTATATGACGGCGGTCTGTCAATAATCGAGTCTGGACCATACAATCCAGTGATTGACATCATGAGCACCGATCCACGCAATTGGGATACGATGACATGCATGAACCAAGTCAGCGAGTCTGACCACCCGATCCTGTTAGTCGCCTCTTACGACAAGCATAGTCGCCTTTTACGGCAAGCATGGGTTGCTGAAGACCTATTCTACACCGGATCTTCACGGCTCCGCATACAGCTGACATGATTTGATATATACAAAAAGTAGGGGATACTAGGAAATATCTTAAAATTTCCAAAATAGTAAGAGATATTAGTTTTTAGCAATAATCGATGTTGACGGACGATAGGGGCAAGATGGGAAATGTGGCGTTTTTGGATCAGTAGTGGGTATGATACCGCCACGCTTTGTCAAACATTCATTCACTCAACGAGGCACACTGCATTTGTGTCTTCTAATGGAGATTGAGGGGAGTGCAGTCAAAGTGGTCGGCGGTCTGTGACGTTGACCCACACGTCTCCCTAGCATTTCCCGATGAGCTCAATCGGGGAATGGTCGGGGCTTATTTGTGGCCATGGCATTCTAGGCATGTTGTGCTGCTGGAGACGAGCATTGACGATTCCTGCACGGTGATCACAAGACGTCGGCTCACACGCTTGCAAACGGGACATCAGAGGGTGCCAGTGTGTTGTCCCGAAAGTATTGTCCAGTGACAGTGATATTGTCTTGTACAATATGGAGTGGGGTTTGGTCAGTCTTAGTGATGCAACCCACACCATAACCGATCTACCGCCTCAGGTTGGCATCGGCTTGGCGTATATTTCGACGTCGCCAGACACGACCATGCCCATCAAGGGAGTGCAAAGTGGATCGGGTCTCATATGCTGCATGTTGAAGTTTTCTGTCGCCTGCAGCCTGATGAAAGGTTGATGTAATTGGTTTCGCCAGTTGAGGTCAACTTCGGAGAGCATGGTTTCGGGTCAATTGATCCTGTACTCGACCGTGGATGCCCTGAACGGGGTCGATCGACAATTTGGGTTTGTTGGTACCTGTTCCATTGTCTGCTTATCACAGACTGTGAAACATTGAACGTATTTGCCACTGCACGCTGACCTCTGCCAGTCTCCACCATGCCAATACCCCGTTGACGCTCCGCCTTGTTCCAGACGCCGCATTGCCAGTTCATGCACAAATATCATCCATATACCATTTTAGATTTGTAACACATTGTGAATGTTTGAAAGAGGATATTATTTACCCTGGTAATCTGTATAATAAATGCTTGGTTCAGTATAGCTTTTGTTACGTCGTCACGTTTTGCACAACATTGAACACGAGAACTCTCCCAAGTGTACATCATTTTGAAAAATCACATATTTTATTGAAACAACAATTAATTACAATAAATGTCAATTGCGGATCTGCATGACTATTTCTTTAATAATCACATTTTGGTTTTGAGTGCCATAATGAACCAAACCTAGGAACATGAGCAGGAAAACTTTTGTCACACAAATAACTGCTTCCCACAATTCCCCATCCACAATCTCAGAACAACTACTATAGATTTGCGCCTTTCCGCCGCCAGTCAATAACATGGAGCCCTGACCAGAAGGACAAAACATGTTGTTTTTTTAAAAACTTCCATATTCTTTGAGAAATATACCAAATGTAGTCATGTTTAATATACGAATATCTGTTAATAATGTTCGTAACAGAAAGAATAGTTTGCATGAGTCTTTATTGATACTAATTTTCCATAGTAAACAAACATACATCAAATATTAAATTTCATGAACACTTGGTGTCATCCATTACCAATTTCACTACTATTTTGTCTTTTACGGCCGATGGAATATGTTTCGATAGATAATCCAGATAAGTTATCAGTTGGCGTTGATGTTTTATATAATTATATTAAATTGCTTAATTTTGTTTTATGCATATTGCAAATACATGTTCATGTAGGTCACAACATGTCAGACATTGTTTGTTGCTTTTATTGTTCAGGCTTGCCTTACAGTTTCTTTTAATTCATTTTTCTTCTTACGTCACTTCTGAAGTTGAATGTTTTCTGTGCTCTCGATGTCTTTAACCTTTCAGGACCTATAAATTCAATTTCAAAATCCTGAAAATGTATTCTTATTCATGTTCATTTACGAATAACTAAGTCTGACTTGAAGTCGCGTAGTTGGCTTATCGCTGACACGTATTCATATGTTTAAGGTGACATTTGTCTTGTAAACCAATATCTCTCATGTATGTAAATGTGCAAACAAAACTCTACGATGTCTGCTGGCAAATTCATATACCTAGTTGCTGTATTTCCTGTGCTGGTCAAACATGTGCTCATCTCAATGGTCAAACAAGAAACACGTGTTCTGAAATGTCACAGCCTTGGCAAAGGCAAGAGGTTGATTAAACATATAAATATCAGCTCAGTGATACAGAGTCAGCTAATTAAATGTCTAATGTCTTGACATTACTCATGTTAAGTCCGTAAATATTGGAACGTTTGCCCGAATGGTGTTTGCTCGGCTGCGTCATGCAACAAGGGTCAATATGCAGGTGTATAGGAGACACTCCACCGTGACCTTACACCGGTGTCGGTATGCCCACTGGGGTTATCGTAATCTGCACGTCAACGGAGGTCAGTTCCCTGAACGAGATCTCGGAGTGAAGAGATGAGGTTAGATGGGGATAGAGGCTGAGGCTCTCATCAAAGTGTGTACAGAAACTGATATCAGTTCGGAACTCATGAGCGTATCTCATTGTTATAGCACATATATTTCTTAGAAATGGTTTTGTCACTTTTATTTACCCTTATACATGCTTATACTAGTAGTTCAAAACAATCCAAACAATAACACGATTCCGTAAAATATACCCCTGTATATCGTGAATATTGTGTGTTCGTACTTTGCTGTCACCGTTTGCTCATCAAATCAAGCGATGATAACAGAACATGAAGTGAATGTGATGAAAGGATTTTAAAACATTTAAACAGACATTGATTGAGTGACTAGATTGTTTTAACGCCGATTGGAACAATATTCCAGTTATATAACGGCGTGTCATCTTAATGTGGCAGGAAAACCCCGAAGTGATTCAGGTCTCAGACGTTTACCGCTATGTGTCCTTAACTTCTTTTGAGTAATATATAAGATTTATGAATCATTATGATCATACAGAGATTTCTTAAGCTCGCCTGTAGCAACTTTAAGATTTTCTTTATGTTTATTGTAATTATGTTTTATACCCAGCTGCCTGACAAATCTCTGCTTTTATCTACATGACCTGAGGCGCCTATACAATGTACTATGAATGTGGTTCAGGGCGCCGCCGGTCAAAAATAGTCTGACGTACACGATGCCGAAAATTCTTCACTCAACCATTCAGAGATATTTCCAAAATGTCCTTAATCAGCATATGTGGGTACGAGCCTGTTCATGTTAATCTTACTACTGCCCCTGCAACTACCACAACAACACATACAAATGGGTCACTGAAACATGGTAATGACCAGATGATTGTAATTGGTTTCTGGTTTGCAAGAAGTTGTCATTTCTCACAATAAAAGGCATAGTCTAAGTTTGGATTCTTCTTCTTTTCTTCTTCTTCTTCTTCTCCTCTTTCTTCTTCTTCTTCTCCTTCTTCTCTTTCTTCTTCTTCTCCTTCACCTTCTTCTCCTCCTCCTTCACCTTCTTCTCCTTCTCCTTCACCTTCTTCTCCTCCTTCTCCTTCACCTTCTTCTCCTCCTTTTTCTTCTTCTCCTTCACCTTCTTCTCCTCCTTCTCCTTCTTCTTTTGCTTCTCATTCTTCGTCTTCTTCTCTTTCTTCTTTTTCTCCTTCTTCGCCTTCTTCTTCCTTTACTACTTCTTCTCCTTCTTCTTCTTCTCGTTCTTCTCCTCCTTCTTCTTCTTCCTCCACTACTTCTTCTCCTTCTTCTTCCTCCTCCAATACTTCTTCTCCTTCTTATCTTTTTCTTCTTCTTCTTCTCTTTCTTCCTCTTCTTCTCTTTCTTCTTCTCCCTCTTCTCTTCCCTTTCTTTTCCTTCTACCCCTTCTTCTCCTTCTATTCCTCTTCTTCTCTTTCTTCTCCTTCTTTTCCTTCTTCTGCTTCTAGGGGCCAATGTGGGCCCAGTCGTCTTAGGCGCCGCGATTAGCTGTGCAGAGTTGCGTCCTTTTGGCACGCCAGAAACCTATGATTGCGGGTTCAAATCCCGGTTCGCTCTGATTATGTTTCTAGGTTTGTCAGAACCATAACCGTGCTCGTGGGTTTCACCGAAGTGGTTAAACATCTCAGACGTTGAAAGCGGCGTTCAACCGGCGTTAAACCTTTCTGAAAGATAACACCACTCACTTTCCAATATTAGTTAAAAAAAAGTGTACGTTCATAAACCGCCGGGCAAAAGAGAGCATACACCCATGTTTGATGATAGCTCTATATGAAACAAACAAAAAGTGGTTTTTCGACGTATTTTATACGGGTACCATAGGCGAAACGCAGCACTGAGTATCTCATTGCACAGGGCGTCTCAAGGGACACGGGGGTCGCAATGTCACAGTACACAGTAATGAGGATATGAGTGAAGTATAAGTTTTCAAGAGTATACATGTGCTTTCTTTTGCCCGACATCAACTCTACATGAACGAGGCCACGCCCAGGGAACAATTAGGATATAAGTTCCTAAGTATGTTTACAAATACATGCAATAAAAGCAAACACCTCATCATATTTCAAATTTTATTCTACACGAGGAACAGGATTAAAGTTCAACTGCCCGTACCCAGGTGCCATTTTAGCTTATAGCCCCTAAATATGAAAACAAGAAAACTGTGCAAACAAGAAACAAGTCCCCACTTACCACAGTCCCCCCCCCCCCCCCCCCCCCCCCCACCACACACACACACACACACAAATTGTAAGTTAAAAATAAGATAGGGTTTGAGTATATATTTGAAATGTTGTCTTTCATGTTTCAGTACATTACTACGACCAGGTGGCATGTGGACTGAAGCAACCAGACCGCCTGCACTACTGGTGGTAAGTTGAACCATGAGTGGGTGTTATTGAGGGTGTAGTTTACGTAGTTTCCGTGCGTCCAAAGTCCCAAGTATTGGAGGTCGTAGCCATTAGAGCTTTGGTGACATCACATCAGGGTGTATCCTTCACCCAAGGGACCCCATGCCGCGTTCAAAAGTTCAGATAACAAACACGATTCTGATGCTGTAAGGTCTTACTACTTCAAGCTCGGCTGCTGATACAGATAAACTACAGCACATGTACATATGTATTAGATTTAGTTCATCGCTTTATGTATCACATAAAACAAAATGAGATTGAGCCGACATTGTATTGTATATTGGATATATAGCTGTTTATCAATCAATCAGCCGTGTATATGCTCAAATTACCATGGGTAACTACACACGAAGTCTCACACACCTCGCACTAGCCTTAAACACCACACACTAGCCCTACACACCACAACCTAAGTCTTACATACGACGCTAGCCCTACACACCACACACTAGCCTTACACACCACAACCTAAGTCTTACACGCCACGCACAAAGCCTTACACACCACGCACTAGCCTTACACAACACACACTAGCCCTACACACCACGCACTAGTCTTACACACCACGCACTAGCCTTAAACACCACGCACTAGTCTTACACACCACGCACAAGCCTTAAACACAACGCACTAGCCTTACACACCACGCACTTGCCTTACACACCACGCACTTGCTTTATACACCACGCACTTGCTTTACACACCACGCACTCAGCTTTAGACAACGCACTAAGTCTTACACACCACGCACTAGCCTTACACACCACGCACTAGGCTTACACACCACGCACTAGCCTTAAACACCACGCACTAGTCTTACACACTACCCACTAGCCTTACACACCACGCACTAGCCTTAAACACCACGCACTAGTCTTACACACCACGCACAAGCCTTAAACACAACGCACTAGCCTTACACACCACCCACTAGCCCTACACACCACGCACTTGCCTTCCACACCACGCACTCAGCTTTACACAACACACTAAGTCTTACACACCACGCACAAAGCCTTACACACCACGCACTAGCCTTACACAACACACACTAGCCCTACACACCACGCACTAGTCTTACACACCACGCACTAGCCTTAAACACCACGCACTAGTCTTACACACCACGCACAAGCCTTAAACACAACGCACTAGCCTTACACACCACGCACTTGCCTTACACACCACGCACTTGCTTTATACACCACGCACTTGCTTTACACACCACGCACTCAGCTTTAGACAACGCACTAAGTCTTACACACCACGCACTAGCCTTACACACCACGCACTAGGCTTACACACCACGCACTAGCCTTAAACACCACGCACTAGTCTTACACACTACCCACTAGCCTTACACACCACGCACTAGCCTTAAACACCACGCACTAGTCTTACACACCACGCACAAGCCTTAAACACAACGCACTAGCCTTACACACCACCCACTAGCCCTACACACCACGCACTTGCCTTCCACACCACGCACTCAGCTTTACACAACACACTAAGTCTTACACACCACGCACAAAGCCTTACACACCACGCACTAGGCTTACACACCACGCACTAGTCTTACACACCACGCACTAGCCTTAAACACCACGCACTAGTCTTACACACCACGCACAAGCCTTAAACACAACGCACTAGCCTTACACACCACGCACTTGCCTTACACACCACGAACTTGCTTTATACACCACGCACTTGCTTTACACACCACGCACTCAGCTTTACACAACGCACTAAGTCTTACACACCACGCACTAGCCTTACACACCACGCACTAGGCTTACACACCACGCACTTGCTTTATACACCACGCACTTGCTTTACACACCACGCACTCAGCTTTAGACAACGCACTAAGTCTTACACACCACGCACTAGCCTTACACACCACGCACTAGGCTTACACACCACGCACAAGCCTTAAACACAACGCACTAGCCTTAAACACCACGCACTAGTCTTACACACTACCCACTAGCCTTACACACCACGCACTAGCCTTAAACACCACGCACTAGTCTTACACACCACGCACAAGCCTTAAACACAACGCACTAGCCTTACACACCACCCACTAGCCCTACACACCACGCACTTGCCTTCCACACCACGCACTCAGCTTTACACAACACACTAAGTCTTACACACCACGCACAAAGCCTTACACACCACGCACTAGGCTTACACACCACGCACTAGTCTTACACACCACGCACTAGCCTTAAACACCACGCACTAGTCTTACACACCACGCACAAGCCTTAAACACAACGCACTAGCCTTACACACCACGCACTTGCCTTACACACCACGAACTTGCTTTATACACCACGCACTTGCTTTACACACCACGCACTCAGCTTTACACAACGCACTAAGTCTTACACACCACGCACTAGCCTTACACACCACGCACTAGGCTTACACACCACGCACTTGCTTTATACACCACGCACTTGCTTTACACACCACGCACTCAGCTTTACACAACGCACTAAGTCTTACACACCACGCACTAGCCTTACACACCACTCACTAGACTTACGCACCACGCACGCACTGCCTTCGACAGAACCTTGGTTATACCCCAATCACACCAAACTAGTTCTCAATACGTTCGTGAAAATGTTGTCGAACGGGCCCCAACTGTGTATGAACGTAGTGGACGTAGTAAAACCAATGGACAGTCTTTTTACGAACTTTATGGACGGGCTCGGACGGGGAGGGTGCTCTAGAACTTGGAGTCTGCTCAAAGTTTTATCCCGTCCATCCCGTTCTGCAATTAGTCGGACTGACAACGTACTTAAAACGAGAAAGACGTATTACGAACGCAATTGCCGTACTTCGAACCTACTAGGGACGTGTTACGACGTGGTGCAGTCGGACATAAATTTCAGTACGTGTGCGCACCGACCGTATCGACTTCTCTTTGGAGGCATGATGTGTACAGCTCGGAGCCCTGAACTTGAATGAAGACTGGCTACAACGCGCTCGGTATCCTTAGGAGTCGGGCCAGGACGGGCCAGGACGCGAATACACGCGCACTTGGGACGAGATGAGGACGTACTGCGAACGAGTTGGTCGGGTTAAGAATTAGTTAGAACTGGCTTGGACGTATTGTGAACGAGGTAGAACAAGGTTGAGCTGGTTAAGAACGGGTTCACAATGGCTGCGGACGTGCACGAACTGCTGTCGACATGAGGTGAACATTGTCGGGCCCGTTCTAGTATTTTGTTTAGAACGGGGTAGAACGGGATAGAACTACTTTGGTGTGATTGTAGCATTAATGTACCAACAAAATGCAATTCTAAATGTAAATGTGGACTTTTGACAGAGCCTTGACGATGTTCTACTTGTGTACTTGTTGTGTGGTACAACGACGTTATGTCGGGAGGGTAGGTAGAAGTGTATCCAAATGAAAAATCGTTTAACGTTATCACAGATTGTAAGATAGCATTGATGACATTTCGCAAGATTACAGCCCAGCGGCGTTGTGGGCTATTCCTAATGATGCCACAGGAGTATATAAGACGTTATACAAAAGGCAAAGGTGAAATAGCACATACCTTCAAGCGATCCCATGTAGTGAGATGCATTACACCAATCATTGGGAAAGTGATTGGTGTACATGTAACATTGTTGATCACTCACTTACTCACTCACTCACTCACTCACTCACTCACTCACTCACCCACTCACTCACCGCAAACTCTATCTAGCCTTTAGGTGGTATAGCTTTGACCTTTGACATCCGCATGAAGTCGACTCGCCACTTCGTGTCATGAAACTGAAGCCAGAAACCGCAAGAAAGTGTCGTATTGATATCAATGGATGCATATTCTCTGTATGTTAGTTAACAAATTCTTTGGCATTATTAGTTATAAAAAATTCTTTTGCATTGTTAATGTCTGCTATGTTCGGTTCCCAAGGCAACCAAGACGCTCTCCGCCATGTTCAATGGACATATCGTGTGACCCCCACGCCCGATATCGGACTTTCGACGGCTCCTGCAACAACCTTCGTCGTCCTCAGTGGGGAATGGCGGGTTTCGCCTTCGACAGACTACTCCACGCCCAGTACGATGATGGTAATGGTCATCTATCACTAGACAGTCACAACATTAACCTGCAATCTATGGACTCTCAGGAGGGACATTGTCGCGTTGTCGCCCTCACACAAACAAGCAAAAAGTGTCAAAACTAACCAAAGCGCGACAATGCAACAATACGCGACATTTTGGCCATTTGTCGCATACTTACAACGACCTTGGCACACTACTGACATAATTACGTGCACGTACAAATGAATCAAGGCAAATAATAGAGTGACTAGAAAAATTGACATGAGTGACGTCAACAGCATAGATGGTAGCGTGACGAACTACAGATCAAGAGGTCCCAGGTTCGTATCCCGTCGAGGTTTTGAAAGTGATGTGTGTTGTTTCTTTGTCTTACACATAACGGGATGTAAATCACAAGTAGGGTTTGGTGGCAAGAACGTATCGAAATCGTGAATTATATTCATCTTCAATACACGGCCGCGTCACACCAAAAGATGTTAAAAGATGGTACTTGTTGTTACCCTGTCTGGCGCTCGGCATTAAGGGTCTAAAACAAGGACTGGTCGGCTTGGAGTCAGTATACTGTGTTTGAGTGGGGTATTCATGTTAAACTGCGGCATGGTATCTCAGTGAGCTAGAACTATAAATCGGCATCAGTCCGGACGAGTACAATCAGCCACATAAAACCCACACGTGCATGCACGTCGCTATGTATATAAGTGCAATAATCCTGGACGCGACGTTAAACCCCATTTCACCTCACCACCTCAATACTGCGTGTTTTACAGGCGTACACTATTTACCTGGTGTCATCACTAATTTTCAGTGTTTCATTCACAAAACTTTCACAGCCATTTTGCCTTTTAGGCCCAAAGGAATATGTTTCGTCGGATAATCGAGACATTTTGTTTTTACATTTAATATATCTTCGCATTTCAAAATCTACCAGATTCATATTCCAAGGGGTGTGACGTACGTATTAGGTTTGGGCACAATCACGTGAATTTGGAAATTGTCATTATATCTACATTTGGCACAACAGTGTTGATATTATAAGAATATGTATTAGACATATACTCTCCGAAACAAGTAGGGGATCATGAAATATAAATGGTATGATCGGTCGTGAAAGGTCAAATCTTGCTCAGCCTTTAATATTGTTTGGTTTTATTATCCATTGTAACACGTGAGCTCTCTATTTATGCTTTAGTGCAGTATTTGTGAACACTCGTTCGTCCGTTTGTTGTTTAACGCAGCACTCAGCAGTATTCCAGCTATATGACGGCGGTCTGTAAATAATTGAGTCTGGACCAGACAATCCAGTGATGGACATCATGAGCATAGATCCACGCAACTGAGATCCGATGACATCAGATCAACCAAGTCCGCGAACCTGATCTTACGACAAGCATAGTCGACTTTTAGGGCAAGCATGGGTTGCTTAAAACTATTCTACCCCGCATCTTCAGGGGTCGTATTTGTGAACAAATTAAGGATGCGTCATTTACAACCTGATGGACGTCGTAGGGATATATGCATGTTGCAAACTAGAAGAACTCTGCAAGCGGTAACCAATATGTTTAATGTGTCTCTTGCGGCCTTTGGAAGAGGTTCCTTCGGAAACAAAATGTCAATGATCGGCCCCGCACAGGGCGCCTCAGATCAACAAAGCAAGTCCAAGATCGATAAACAGCAACAAAGGTTATCAGATACAACCCTGTGACCCCTTGATGCGTTGTCTTTGACCACCTGTGCTACGGAGACTGTTGACGTCTCACGTGTCATTTTTTCTTGTCACTATTATCTTGGTTTGGTTCACTTGTACATAAAAATACAAAATAATAGTGTATCAAGTTCATGGAACGTCCTGGTGGTATGCATGTTGAGCAAGGGCCCGTGAAGGTGATTTGGGGAATCGAATGGGAATCGGGTGGTCAGGCTCGCTGACTTGATTGATTCATGGCATCGTATCCCATTTGGGTACATCGATGCTCATGATGTCATTCACTGGATTGTCTGGTCCAGACTCGATTATTTACAGACTGCCGTTATATATCAGGAATATTGCTGAGTGCGGTGTTAAACATTTCTGTGAGTTAAAGGGTCGTCGGTTGTCTGAAGTTTGATGTAGTAACTCCGATTAAGTATATATAATTCAAACACAGAGATCGCAAAAACATTAATGTGAGTGAGTATTGTTTACCGCCGCTATTTCAGTTATGTCACGGCGTGCCGGCTTGAGGCTGGAGAAAAAAACCGGAAGTGATGTAGATCCAAAACAAGAAACAATCAGGACGAACCGGGAATTCGAACACACGATCATAGGTTTCTGGCACGCCTAGGGGACACCACTCTGCAAGGCGAATTCATCAATTTAGGGGTTGCTGGCTGAACAGTTATATTTGCTTGAGTCCTGGGCAGGATCGAAGCTCTAGAAACTCTCTGGAGCCAAGCAACCGAGCAAGGTCACCCATCCAAGGGTTCCCCGGGACTCACGTGACTTAACGCCACTTTGAACGCCACAGTTTCACAGCATATCAACATGTATGTGTATGGTGATTCGAAACCAAGATCAGAGTTTACTGGTGCGTCTAGGGGACGCAACTCTTCAATGCGAATAGCGCCGCCTTAAACGACAGCGCCAATCGTGTGACCTCATCGATTTGAAAAGATGTCGGAGACCGGAATGAATTAAAGAGAAATGCAAAGTCTTTGTTTCTTGATGTGAAAAGACGTTTAGTTAATGAAAAACGATAAAGAACATAACGATATATGACCTCATTTCTGAAGCAACAATGAAATATGTGATTTCATTTTTAGAAAAAGAACCCCCAAAATCAATAGTATTCAAAGCGCGACTGTACGACAACGCGACAATGAGACAAATGGCCAACATATCGCGCTGCCGCATTGTCGCGCTTTGGTTAATTCTGGCACTTTTTCCTTGTTTTTGTAAAGGTAGTGACGTATATCTAGACTCAATCATTAAAAAGGTCGCTTGACCAAGAGAGTAACTATTGACTCAGAATAGTGAGTTTGTTCTTGACCTGAACTAGACAATCGCGGGAAAGTTGGTTATCCAGGCCTTACCAGCAAGACAGGATACGAAATATAAAATCCTAGCCGATAAGTTTTAGTTTAATGCCACCAGAGTAAGTCACTACCAGAGAGAAAACTGACCCTTAACCACTTACTAACGAAACCTAGGTTTCGATCTATAGCAAGACGACATTAAACGGTCTAGCGATTCCTGGGGTCGAACCCACATAATTTCGAGTTTAATACGAGTGAGTGAGATTGGTTTAACGCCGCATTTAACAGTATTCCAGTTACATAACGGCGTGTCAGCGTAATGTGGGAGGAAAGTCCGAAGTGATGCAAGTCTCTGACGTTTACCACTTCGGTGAAACCCATGAGCACGGGTATGGTGCTGACAAACCTAGAAACATAATCGGGGCGAACCGGGATTCAAACCCACAGTCATAGGTTTCTGGCGTGCCCAAGGTACGCAACTCTGCACAGCGAATCACGGCGCCCTAGACGACTGGGCCACCCGTGCCCCCCAGTTTAACACGAGACACGCGGACCTCGGAGAAAGTACTCTCTGTATCCTGGCGAGGTGACAAAAGTGTGTTTTCTGACATTGGGGGAAACCCGAATAGCAAACTAGATACGACACCAATACGGGAGAAGTTGGTACCAAACAAAAGCACTTAACATCAGCTATTAAACAGTATCACTAAATATATACAACCAGATATGGAAATTATTGATGTGGCAAAAGTGACCATAAATACATAAGAAACAAGATAATCGCGCTACTGCGAGAAAATCAAACTTACTATACATGAATAAGGTAGCAAACATATATAAGATAAGATATATTAAAAACAATACATGATAAAAGTATGCCATTAAACCGATAAAATGGCTCACCAAATCTCCAACGATGTTTGTAAATTCTCTGAACAACGACGACCGCCGGATTTTGCCGAACGGTTACGACGCGGGGCAATTAAGGGAGAGGGTACCGACCGGTACGGACACTTGACGTGACTAGACTGGTTTTACGACCCGGTGACAATTTGTATCATACTGATAAGTTTTTCCAGATTATATTTGCTTGTTAGATAAGTTCATTTATGAATGCACAAGTATGAAGATCGATATTCGAACTTTCAATATCATTTCAGTGACACATTTACAAAATTTTACCCTCAAATGACGAAAATATATTTTGGCATTGATAAACTATTTTTTCTGTTGTCTAGGTTACTATTACCCTCGGACCACGGGGGTGGATGGCCGTCCTCTCCCATCCCCTCGAATAGTGTCCACCTTTATCCACAAATCGGACTCTGAAACGACCAGACTTGTCAGCTTGAGCAACATGTTCCAGGTGTGGGGGCAGTTCTTGGACCACGACCTCACCTTTACCCCCATGCAGAGAGGTAGGATTTATTTGTTTGTTTAACGCCGGAGTCAGCAATTTTCCAGCTGTAATCGAGTCTGGACAAAACATGGGTTGCTGAAGATCAATTCTTACCCGGAACTTCACAGATCAGAGGTGTAGGCGTTCGCTCTTTACAACCAGGTCAGAATAGGTCAGAATAGGGCAATCTGTATTTTGGCGACTGAATGAATCAGTCTTTGTTACAGATTGTTGGTCACATAGCTCCGACAGTTGGGGCGTTACTTATTATTTCAATCACTGTTTTGTCTGATTATATCAGAGTCGATTATATACAGATCGTCGTCGCTGGAATATTGCAGACAAAAACACTACCCTTATGTTACGGGGAATATTTTCAGAACATAGATAGCCACGGGCGCGTCGGTTTGGTCTTGCCCTGTTGGGATTTCGGGTAAGCATAGCTCCCCAGTAGGGTAAGAATAGAACCCAAAGTAGGGTAAGAATAGATCCCCAGTAGGGTAGGAATAGATCCCCAGTAGGGTAGGATAGATCCCCAGTAGGGTAACCATAGATCCCCAGTAGGGTAGGAATAGATCCCAAGTAGGGTAACAATAGATCCCCAGTAGGGTAAGAATAGATCCCCAGTTGGATAAAAATAGATCCCCAGTAGGGTAAGAATAGATCCCCAGCAGGGTAAGAATAGATCCTCAGTTGGGTAAGAATAGATTCCCAGTAGGGTAAATACAGATCCCCAGTATGGTTAGAATAGATCCCCAGTAGGGTAAGAATAGATCCTCAGTAGGGTAAGAATAGATCCCCAGTAGGGTAAGAATAGATCCCCAGTAGGGTAAGAAAAGATCCCCACTAAGGTAACCATAGATCCCCAGTAGGGTAAGAATAGCTCCCCAGTGGAGTAAGAATAGATCCCCATTAAGGTGAGAACAGAACCCTTAGTTGGGTAAGAATAGATCCCCAGTAGGGTAACCATAGATCCCCAGTAGGTTAACCATAGATCCCCAGTAGGGCAGCAATAGATCCCCAGTAGGGTAAGAATAGATCCCCAGTTGGGTAAGAATAGATCCCCAGTAGGGTAACAATAGATCCCCAGTAGGGTAACAATAGATCCCCAGTAGGTTAACCATTATAGATCCCCAGTTGTGCAGCAATAGATCCCCAGTAGGGTAAGAATAGATCCCCAGTAAGGTGAGAACAGATCCCCAGTAGGGTAGGATAGATCCCCAGTAGGGTAAGAATAGATCCCCAGTAGGGTAACCATAGATCCCCAGTAGGGTAAGAATAGCTCCCCATTGGGGTAAGAATAGATCCCCATTAAGGTGAGAACAGATCCCCAGTTGGGTAGGAATAGATCCCCAGTAGGGTAACCATAGATCCCCAGTAGGGTAAGAATAGATCCCCAGTAGGGTAAGAATAGATCCCCAGCAGGGTAAGAATAGATCCCCAGTAGGGTAAGAATAGATTCCCAGTAGGGTAAGAACAGATCCCTAGTAGGGTAACAATAGATCCCTAGTAGGGTAAGAATAGATCCCCAGTAGGGTAAGAAGAGATCCCCAGTAGGGTAAGAATAGATCCCAAGTAGGGTAAGAATAGATCCCCAGTAGGGTAGAAATAGATCCCCAGTAGGGTAAGAATAGATCCCCAGTAGGGTAAATATAGATCCCCAGTAGGGTAGCAATAGATCCCCAGTAGGGTAACCATAGATCCCCAGTTAGGTAAGAATAGATCCCCAGTAGGGTAAGAATAGATCCCTAGTAGGATAAGAAAAGATCCCCAGTAGGGTAAGAATAGATCCCCAGTAGGATAAAAATACATCCCCAGTAGCGTAAGAATAGATCCCCAGTATGGTAAGAAATAATACCCAGTAGGGTAAGAATAGATCTCCAGTGGGATAACAAATAGATCCCCAGTAGGGTAAGAATAGATCACCAGTAGGGTAAGAATAGATTCCCAGTAGGGTAAGAATAGATCCACAGTATGGAGAGAACAGATCCCAAGTAGGGTAAGAATAAATCCCCAGTAGGGTAAGAATAGATCCCCAGTAGGATAAGAATAGATCCTCAGTAGGGTAAGAATAGATCCCCAATAGGGTAATCTATTCCCCAGTAGGGTAAATATAGATCCGCAGTAGGGTAAGAATAGATCCCCAGTAGGGTAAGAATAGATCCCCAGTAGTTTAAGAATAGATACCCAGTAGGGTAAGAATAGATCCCCAGTAGGTTAAGTATAGATCCCCAGTAGAGTAGAAATAGATCCCCAGTAGGGTAACAATAGATCCCCAGTAGGATAAATATAGATCCCCAGTAGGGTAGCAATAGATCTCCAGTAGGGTAACAATAGATCCCCAGTAGGGTAACAATAGAACCCAGCACCTCCTGGTTGCCACAAGTACGTAACTGGTCAGTGCGTGAGTGCGTGCGTGCGAGCGTGCGTGCGTGCGTGCGTGCGTGCGTGCGTCCGTCCGTCCGTGCGTGAGTGAGTGAGTGAGGGAGGAAGGGAGGGAGGGAGTATTTCAGTCACATCATGAGGGAGCATTGTCTTCACATGGGGAAAAGAACATTGTATTCATGCGATGGAACATTGGGTTCATATGGGGGAACAATGTTTATATGGGGAAACATTGTGTTCATATGGGGGAACATTGTATTCATATGTTGAAACATTGCGTTCATATAGTGAAACATTGTGTTCATGTTGGGGAAACATTGTGTTCATATGGGGAACATTGTGTTTATATAGTGAAACATTGTGTTCATATGGGGAAACATTGTGTTCATATGGGAAACATTGTGTTCATATAGTGAAACATTGTGTTCATGTTGGGGAAACATTGTGTTCATATGTTGAAACATTGTGTTCATATAGTGAAACATTGTGTTCATGCTGGGGAAACGTGTTCATATAGTGAAACATTGTGTTCATGTTGGGGAAACATTGTGTTCATATGGGGAACATTGTAACGACCACAAGGTTTTCTCATTGCACCGTTTATAAAAAAAAAGACTTAAAAAAGACGAAACAGTAACAAAACACCCAGACAGATGGATTGTCTTAGCTTATGCGTCTCATTAATAACATTGTTTTGTCCTCTAGATGCAGATGGAAGTGCTTTCAAATGTTGCTCTGATTTCCAAAACCAGGTCGGGCCCGGTCACTACCAAGGGTAGGTAACTCCTTTGAATCACAACATTTTTTCTTTCTTCTTCAGTGTTGTGTGAGAACACCATCTGTTGTTATTGTTATTGTCAAAATTAAAGTAAATAAATGCAGCAAAGAGGCTTCGGGTGATCCTGACACACGTTGATAAACTTCTTATAAGCACGTTTAAATAACTCGTATATGAGATAACTTCGCCATAAACCGCAAAGAGTGAGTGAGTGAGTGAGTTGGGTTTAACGCCGCTTTTAACAGTATTACAGTTATATCGCGGCGTGTCAGCTTAATGTCGGAGGAAAGCCCGAAGTGATGCAGGCCTCAGACGTTTACCAATTCGGTGAAACCTCGTGCACGGCTATGGTGCTGACAAACCTAGACACATAATTGGGGCGAACCGGGATTTGAACCCACAATTATAGTTTTCTGGCGTGCCCAAGGGACGCAACTCTGCACAGCGAATCGCTTCGCCTTAGACGACTGGGCCACCCGTGCCCCCTAAACTTCAAAGAACAATGAAGAACGAAGCGTGGTTTATTTCAAGGTAAACATTGTTCTGTCATGACGTCATTTCTGGAGATTTGAACATACGATCGAAACTTGATGACGCCATTATAAAATGGACTTGTCCGACATTGTTGAGGTCGGATCGTGTTACGGGAGTCATCATTATTTAAATACGGATATACATGTTTAAAGCTTCTATATTTTATTAACATCTTTCAAAAGGGTGTACATGATGTTGATGTCTCATGCAGGAAATAAACAACTCCCACTCATCGTTTCTTTCTTAAATAACGCCAGAGAAAACCACTCTATTTTATGTGATTTCATTACTAAAGGTAAAGAGCGGTAAAACTTATGTGAAAGGATCACAGAAACCCCCATTTAACATTTAGCATAACTGACATGTTAGTGCAAGACTGAAAGGATAGTGCCACTGTATATCTATCTATATGTCGAGGATAAAGGGCGAGGAATTCTAACTTACTGCTCTTGTGACCATGTTGCTTCATGAAAATGCATATGTGTTCTTTGTTTCCACAGGGGTCCGTGTTTCAGCATTCCTGTTCCACCCTTTGATCGCTACATGACCCGGAAGTGCATGTCTTTCTCGAGGTCAACGACAGCGCCAAGGGAAAAGTCTTGCGGAAAACGTACTTATGATCTATTACATACAAAACACTATAGAAACATCTATACGTGAAGAGAGAGCATGACACCAGAAAAAGCATTTGTTCATCCAGATACTTGCTAATAGGGCCGATAATGTAATGGTCTGACGTTGATAATTCAGGCAAAAATAATGTGTGAAATGTGTTCTGAAATATGTATTGTTGGTTTAAAAAAATACTCTCAATTTCAGAGATATGATCATATATCCTGAAGCGCTGGTTGAAAATACATTATGTTCTCAAAGCGGGTTTCCTGTATTTCTGATGTTTCCTTGCTCAGGTTATCGTGAGCAGGTGAACGGGGCTACAGCCTTTGCTGACGCTTCAAATGTTTACGGGACAAACGAAAAAGACGCAGATGCTCTCAGAACATTTACAGGCGGTAAGTGGTGGTACTCTCTCTCTCTCTCTCTCTCTCTCTCTCTCTCTCTCTCTCTCTCTCTCACTCTCTTTCTCTCTCTCTGTCTCTCTCCTCTCTCTCTCTCTCTCTTAGAAATAGTCTGTCACTTTCATTGAAGTCTAGTCCCATGCTTCTCTGTCTCCTGTCTTTACATTACATTTACAAACACGTTATGCATTCTGTTCCAGGCATGTTGAAGACAAGGCAAAATGACATGCCCCCAGCGACAAGTGACAACACCACCTGCTTCCGCATCGATCCTAAGGACTATTGCTTACTTGCTGGTAGGTCAACTCGTGGACATGCATTTGAGTGGAGTGGAGTGGAGTGGAGTGGAGTGGAATTGAGCGGAGCGGAGAGGGAAGTGTCTTATGAGTTGCCCCCCATAGATGTAGCTGGGCAATGCAGATACACCCGATGGCCGAACGATCGCATCTAAAAACTGGAGAGATATGACAATCGGTATCAGGAGAAATGGTTTTGAGAAATACCAAACTTAACACACACTCGACACGAATATTATGTAATATTTGATAACAATCGAATAAAGTTGTTCTGTGCATTTAGGCATGAGATATTCAAACAGCAATGTCATGATGTCACACAGATATAATTCTTTGTCAGTGTATATTTACTGCTAAAATCGTTCTTTGTTCTTCGAGTTAAAGTTAATGAAGCGTTTTTATTGTGTGTCAGCATCCCTCCGATTATACTTTTGGTTTTCTCACCGTTCCCTCCCGCACACCTTGATACAGAGAAGTATTAACCGTTGTGTCCTTGTTCCTGTTCCAGGGGACAAGCGCTTAAATGAACACCCAGGTTTGTCGGTCCTGCACGCGATATTCCTGAGAGAACATAACAGGATTGCAATAGAACTGTCCCTCATCAACCCCCACTGGGACGATGAACGCCTTTTTCAGGAAACCAGGAAGATCCTAGCTGCCCAAATGCAGGTCATCAGTTACTGGGAATGGCTGCCACCGCTGCTAGGACCAGATGTGATGAGATTCTTTGAACTCGATTTGACCATTCCGTTCACGTATCGCCCGGAAGTGAACCCCACAGCTGTCAATTCCTTCGCTACTGCTTCATTCCGCTATGGCCATTCTCAAATTCCAGACGTTTGGACAGTTGGGAGGGAGAAAATTCCTCTCCATGCTATGTTCAATCGGCCTTTTTTTGTTCTTAGAGGCATGTCTGAGGGGTTGGATGATGTCCTGACGGGGATGGTCTCTGACACATCCCAGAGAACTGACGTTTTTTTCAGTAACGGCGTTAGTGATCATCTGTTCGAGAAGGCAGACAGGCCGCCACTTGATTTGGTTTCTCTGAACATAAATCGAGGCCGCGACCATGGACTGCCTCCTTACACGGCCTTTAAGTCGTTCTGCGCGAGGCTTCTGGGAAATACTCCAAGATGGCCCACTAACCTGTACGCGGCCATGATAAACATATACAGGTACGTTATCACAGCCTGACGGCACAGGGACCTGAGTGCGAGTACAGCCGTATCCAACAGTAATATTGTGTGAATGGAGTGAGGGTGACAGAATGGCACTTGTCTGAGATGATTTGAAGTCAACGACGTGGGGATTCCGGGTTAGAATAGATCCCCAGCAACCTATTTTCCGGACGAGTTCCCTGTTAAATGGGAGTTCACTCCAATAAAATCTTTCCACTCATTTAACAGCTCATACGATATATTTATGAATGTTAAAAAAATATTTGACCTGAATGTTACAGAACCATTGGGAACGTGGACGTATTCTCCGGGGCTGTGAGCGAGATACCACTGCCTGGGGCTCAGGTGGGGCCGACCTTCGCCTTTATGATTGGTCTACAATTCCATCGCTTCAAGTGGGGAGATCGCTTCTGGCATCAGACTGCTGATGAGCATATCGGCTTCACACATGGTAAAATCTGAAACTGCGGTTCTTTGATTTGAATCAGTACAACGTTATAGCGGCCCTGTTGTCTGTAATATCACGTTAGATGTTATAAGTAAGCACTCACACCATTCGCTGCTCAATCACACAAGATACATAAGTTTTATTGCTATTTTTAGCGTCACGTCTAGTTTTGTCTGGCTATCAGGTTGTGACACTATTTAATTGTGAAGAAGAGTTGTGAAGGGTTTTGGTCACGTGTTACCGTAGGTCTTAAAACCAACATGCAACACTCGGTGACTCACTGTAAATACATCATTTTGTTAACGTAGGTCAGATATCTGTCAGCTGTAATTAGCAGATGCCGTGTCTAATTTTATAATCCAAAACTGGCTTCCAATGGAGATATCGATTGGGTGAGATCTCCTGGGATATATCTAAACTGAACTTTCTTACACTCAGGCCACAGTTTGTGGCTACACTATGTACAACGCAATTATAAGATATATCATAATATTATGCAATTTATATACATGTACAGATATGCGCTTTGTGGTAAAAATATATACACGCAAAATACATAACGAATAAGTATAGATGTTTTAATATGATGTTTTCCTAACAAACAATTCATTTTCTAAATGTGGCTATAATTCCATTGCAAGTCCTAATTTTGAGCTATTAAAGAGATAATTTTTGTATACACTTGATTAAATATTTAAAAATATTTATGAATATTTCCTATTTTTTTCAAATGCTTCATTTGAAACATAGGTAGTGAAATTCACCTCCGACGTCATATATTGCATAGGTTACATTTCCGATCAACTGGGGAGATATTTGTCCGTTCTCACCCAGCAGATAGTGATTCGACGTCCTGCATGTGAGGGAGATTTTCCTGTTAGATTCTTGCAAATATAATAAATGCTGCTAACATTTTGTATTTACCCCTTTCGAAGGATAGCTATATTTGCTGTCCATGTTTGCTATCTTTCAAGTTAGAATTAACGAGGATTTTTAACAGTACTTTGAAAGTTCTGCGATGTCCATATATAACTTAATCCTAGTTGGTAAAATTTTCCCAAAATACTGTCATTATAAATAAGAATGTACACTTTACAAGATAATTTTGAGGCTTTTCCAGTTAAGGGTTTACCACAAAACAAACAATTCTGCTATAATTCTAAGCTAGGTTGGCAAGTGGGTGTCAATGTATTTTTTCAACACAAGATCAGTTTTCAAAACCCCATACCCCACAACCATAAAGCAGAACAGGAGTAACTAAAGTATAAAGTCTTAAAATAAAGTCACACAGAAAGATTAAGTTTTCTACCTTGGCTTAAGACGAAACCCCTAGCCCTTGTTGCCTTTTCATTTAGAATTTGCTTAGTCTTTGTAAATGCTACAATGAAATTGCATCACAAGGCTTTTGCAGACCATTGTGACGTCATCGTTCATCATCGTTTATAAACTGAAAATGGGAGTAGGTTGGGGTCAAATATTTACCGTATTTACCGTATTTACCAGTCTTTGAATAAAAGCTAAAAAGTCATTTCCATAATCATGACAAGTCTCCATTGTACGATTCCGCCTACATCCTGAGCAAGCAGGTGTTTAGGAATCACTATGAAACAGTAACGACACCAGGTGTTTAGGAATCACTATGAAACACCAGGTGTTTGCGAGGTGAGCGTATCCTGATGTCACGTGTTCTCGTGAATATATGGTACCAATCATCCTACTGGGACTGTCAGGCAACTATGATATTACTGTTCCCATGGAAAGTGTTCAGATTAACACAGGGTCCCGATTCACGATTTATTTACGCAACAAGATGTTCACGAGGGTCTCCGGACTACAGGGTGTCTCCATGTATGATTGTATGTGTCTCGTTGGAACTAGCGTCACCTCAATTCATGTTCTGTAGGTGTTATCTTCATGCATTTCCAGCACAATACCGGGAAATACAGAAAATTCGACTGTCAAGAGTGTTTTGTGACAATTCTAACATCAGGGGATTTCAGCCGAACGTCTTCAAAGTTGAATCAGGAAGGTAATTTACCTTTAACACAATCTTTTCATTTCACATCATAATCCATGATACATGTACCATCGATCCGTTAAATAATTTACCATTTTTCATATAACGATAAGCTGCACATTGACGTTTTTTAATCACTGCATTTATGGGGTTAGCCGACCCGAAAATCATAAATGTAGAATTCTTTTGAAAAGGGAGAAAATGTTTCAGTATTAAAACCTACAACGAAGTGAGAAAAGAGTAACGCTTCCATTTATGATTACAAGACACGTTGAACAACGACTAATTCACATCCATGCTTATTTTCCAGTAATCCAATTATCGACTGTTCCCAGCTACCATCTATGGATCTTACGCAATGGGCAGAGCACTGACGTCATAATGACGGCGTACATGTGCCAGACGTCAATTTGCCTTGACACATTGTTTTGTGGGGCTTTGAAAGCTTTTATCCAAAATGTTATTTGGTTGATTTCAAAAGACATAATAAATGGTACATTCGGATGGCGTGCTTTGTGATTCTTGTCGGGACGAACTTAGCTGGTATCAGTAACTACGCTATTCAGAAGACATGTCATATATAATAGTTTAGTTTCAAACGTAGATAACCGTGAAGGAATTAAAAAAATATGGAATGTGTCACTCATGCAGCGGTTTTTATAGAGTGAGTGAGTTTGGTTAAATGCCGTAGTAAACATTTTTCCAGTTATATAACGGCGTGTCAGCTTCATTTGGGTGTTAATCTGGTGAAGGTTTTAGATGTGAACTGCTTTGGTGAAACTCCAGAGCACGGGTATGGTGTTGAAAACCCCTAAAATATAAACAGGGAGAATATTGGATTCGAACCCACGATTCTGGCACGACTGGGCCACCCGTTGCCCTCCTGTATCATAGTTGTAGCTGGAGTGGAACAGAGCCCGGGCCCAAATGACAAAGGTGGGAAAAACATTGACAAGGGTTGTTTATAGCTTACCTGCAAGAACATTAGTCGATTTCACCACACCGTCCATCTTCACCGACATATCCTGAAAAGCATTCATGACAGATTCCAGGTTTGTTGTGTCACTCTCCCTCGTGAGACGCACAGTCTGCAGTTGACGAGAGCTACCCCGTGCCTAGGGTCCTTGGTCACCTTTGTCATTTGACCCGGGCTCTGTTCCACTCCAGCTTGATATAACAAGGCGAGTATTTAGGATTAAGAACCTGGAGCGTAGACACGAACCACGTGCTTCACGTGCTGTAACACATTTCTATCATCATCTTATACTGAATGGCCAAATATGATAAAATTTGTAAAACTCTTATCAACAACAAACACACAGGATCTAAAGAAATTTATCAAGATTTATTGTAAAAATGTCCATTAGTGTTAAAAATGCTAGGTAATCACCGCATAGGAATGCGGCCGGGTTCACCAGGACACGAGACACAGCGAAAACAACGACAAAAATACACGTGACTTTCACCGAACACATTGTGAACTCATGACCGGGAATGTGATTGGATTCAAATGTAAAGTAAACAACAAAGAATTGACTGACTCAATTTGATATTTTTGGTTTACTGGAGGGTTTGAAGAATTGTAGTAAATGGAATATTGAAACATCGTTTCCCGACTACCAAGTTAATGCTAACCACAGGGACGCCAACTCCCGTGTGTGGTTGCTGTGTGTATTCGTGCTGGACGTGGTCGCTTTATCAAACATGTTGTGCTGGACCTTTCTGACTTGGTATTTGTACTTCTGTGAGAGGCATTTATCACTTGTTAGAACTTACACCGAAACGTCGCTCCTAATTGTAATAAGGAAGTTGTTCATCCATATATCATATCCTTACTTGGTATTTTTAGTTCTTGAGAAAGCTGTGTTCATGTAGATTGTGATGTCAACATTAGGTTTGTGTATATATACTACCCATCAAAGTTAAGATTCACCAGTGTAAATGTAGCCACTCACTATACTCAACTGTTTCAAACCAGATAATGCCAAATATTCTAAACTTTTTACAGGTACTGTTAGCACATGAACTGATGTGGCGTAAAACCAAATCTGTAACGGTGAAAAGATTAGAGTTTTTCTTTCATTAATTGATAAAACTCTGTGAAATGTCGCACATCTTTAAACAAAATTCGCACCAAAACGCAGGTGTTCACATGCACGATAATGCACGTGTTTTAGCAGCAATTTGACGCGGGATACTCGTGCAATTCATCTTTATAAGGATTGCAGTTGGCTCTTCTGAGTTAGTGGAGAAATTCTTCTTTGATGCAAGCATGGGTAGAGGGAGAATCTCCGTATTGAGCAACGACATCAAGCCTTGGCACTGCTACAAGATGGCAGATCACAACGGTATGTTGCCAGACGTCTTGGCGTATCCCAATAGGCAGTTTCCAACCTCTGGGTACGCTTTCAACAGACCAACTCCGTCCAGGATCGACCCAGGTCGGGTAGGTCAAGGGTAACATCACAGCAAGATGACCGATGCGTCTTTTTGCTGTTTCTCAGGGGCAGACACATTACAGCCACAGCAGCCAATAATGCTTTCCAACAAGCTACAGGACGACGTGTATCTGTATCAACAATACGCCGCCGATTACGTCACTACGGACTGCGGGCACGTCGTCTAGCTGTAAGACCCCCTCTTACACCACGCCACCGTCAGAATAGACTGAATTGGGGAAATGGACATTTACGCTGGGGTCCCCGCAGATGGGCAAGGGTACTCTTCTCCGACGAATCAAGGTTCAATCTGCATTTCAACGATGGTCGGATCCAAGTCTACAGACGTCAGGGAGAACGGTACGCTGACGTTGCTGTTGTGGAGCATGGTCGATTTGGAGGTGGATCCGTTATCGTCTGGGGAGGTATCACCCTGACTGGAAGAACTGATTTACTGGTACAGGATGGAAATCTGACTGGCCAGAGATACATGGACGAGATCATCATTCCTATTGTGCTTCCATTCTTAAGGGCCATGCCAGGTCACGCGGTTTTCAAAGATGATAATGCCAGGCCTCACAGAGCTCGCATCGTGTCAGCTTGTTTACAACAAAATGGGGTGAATCGAATGGATTAGCGAGCATTATCGCCCGATATGAACCCCACTGAGCATGTTTGGGATCTGCTGGGACGGCGTGTTTATGCCAGAGTTCCTCCCCCTGCTAACCTTCGCCAACTTCGCAATGCATTGTTTGAGGAGTGGCAAACATTCCCCAGCGGCAGATTGAACTGTTCTTTCGTGGTATGCAACGTCGATGCAATGTCTGTGTTAGAGCCAGGGGTGGTCATACCCGTTATTACATTTTGCAATTTCACTTTTGTATGGTACTAGCCAATACGGCATTCTGGTTCACTAATCATCAATGCACACGTCCTTGTGAACAAGGATATGAAGACCTAAATGAATGATTTTGTTATTTTTTATCGGTAGCTTTCACAAATACGATTTTCTTACGAGATATAGTGAGTGGTTTCAGTGAGTCTAAACTTTTGATGGGTAGTATATGTTCCACCCATAAGGTCCTCTTTGCAGACTGACGTTAGATTAATTCAAGGCATTGGCGACTTAAATGCTAAATACGGAAGTCTGTATGTACCAAGTTTTGAGACTACCAATGTAAACCAGTAGTGATGGTGTATGTCATGAATATGGGAAGGAGCTCATCAACCTATGTTGGACACATGCCTTCACATGTTAAATGGATGCTGTCGCGGGTCGAAGGGGAGCATTCATTTGTTTTGAGGGAGAAGGAGCTAGTCTCATTGATAACTGCCTGTGCTCTAGTGAGTGTTTTACTCCGGAACCTCACATCAGGTTCCATGCAAGATGTAACTCAGATCACTTCCCTATACGCTTGTCCTTGCAATCTGAACAATTGACTCCTACCACCCATGTGTCGGGCGACAACAACGACAATGACGACACAACCGTCATTACTAGATTTAAGCAGAACTATTCGGTAAATGTCGCAGATGTTATTGTCTGTTTGTTCATTTTCAAAAAGGCATATGACTCTGAAAATGGTAATGGTTATGGTTGGTTTTCAATTATGAGTGAGTGAGTTTGATTTTACGCCGCTTTTAGCAATATCACGGCCGGGGACACCAGAATTGGGCTTCACACATTGTACCCATGTCGGGAATGGAACCCGGATCTTCGGCGTTATGAGCCAACGCTTTAACCACAACCCGACCGCTCCGTTTTAAATCATGAAGACGGGCGAACACGGTCGACTGCTTGCCGTTCTCAAGGACTTATATTCTGAAGTACAGATCGCAGTTAGAACATCTAAATGTTCCATATCAGAGGACTTTGATTCACGATTTAGTGTACGACAAGAGGCTTTGCTAAGACCTTTTTTGTTCACAATGTTTTTGTTAGACCTTCAGTCTATGTTAAGAAATAGTCGCCTCAGAGGAATTTCTGTAGGTCAAGAGTTTCTTTAATTGTTATATTTGTTATATGCTGGTGATTGTGTTTAACTGATGACACTGTGATTGGACTACAAAGACAAAGTGAAGTATTAGATAACCTTTGTAAAGTATAGTGTCTTCTAGTTATATTGGCTAAGACAGAAAGATTGGTTTTTAGAAGAGGTGGACTTCTGCGACGTACTGAAAAATGTTTTTGTTTTTCATGGTACATGGAGACTTATATTATGTTATATCATCACAGTAACAGTGTCATTTGGCTTGAAAGCCGATTAAACTGTTATTATAATTTTGTACTTATGAATGAAGCCACATATGTGAAAAAGACTATTATCACAATAGTCACTGTCAAATCAACAATCGTCACAAATGCGCTTGTAAACATCACTTATCTTTTTCTATGGTCCCACATACAGAAACTAAGATATACATGATCCCAAATAACGCACATAAGGCACATGACATGATCAAAACAATATTTTCGATGTAGGGCGAGGTTCAATAACGTCACAGAATTGATTATCTTTTATGATTTGATGCCCAGAGTCTCTCAGCAACACATGAACAATACGAATGTAGACTCTACTGACATATGATACAGCAAACATGTGCACCTTAGATTGGTTGTGAATTCGAGTTGGGGATTTGCTTCAATTATATTTCTTGATCAGCACCGTACCCGTGACAGTGACCAGCTCCTCCCACACGCCATCCATGACATTACTGTAACATTGTCCAAATCGGCGTTAAACACAACACACTCACTCGTCAAACACGATAACAGCAATCGTACATGGAACATTTTACCACAATTGGCACAAGCAAATACAGAACACATTAACTAAAACGCTGTGTACTGACAAGTTTAGTGTGAACTGTCAAGTACAATGTGTATGACAAGTTTAATATGAACTGACAGGTGGATGTGTACTGACAAGTGCTTATGGAACTGTCGAATATGTGTGAACTGTTCCCGTTACATCCGATTTAACGGTAGCAGTATATTCTGCAGTCTTTGTGTAACACCCTTCGCTAATGTTTTTTGGGCCAACGTAACTTGCTTATCAGCGTTTC